GTGGGGATAAATGAACAGCGATTTACATGTAAACGAAGAAATCAGTGGCTCACCGCTTTTGGCACGTGTTTGCTGCTGAAGAAAACGTGGAAGGTGACCAGCTGTGAGACCAGAGGGTTGGCGCAGTTCCTCAAGTACTTGATTGCGTCGACGGTCGCCGCGAAGTCCGTGCCAGGGGCGTGCATCGCGATCGATATCGGCGCCCTCCACCGTTCCAGGAGCGGCTCCAGATTGTCCAGGAACGTATAGTCCGCGTGCGTGGTGTACGTGACGCTCTCCCAGCACCTGACCGCCATGCTCATCGGTACGTAATTATATAGGACCCAGTAATCTCCCCGCTGCGCCCGTCTCGGTTCCGTCGACTTCTCGTTGCACGGCACCGCTTCCTGCAGGCTCATCGTCGGCCTCACCACCGGCCCGCTGTTCTTCGTCTTCGCGAGGACAAAGATCAAGAATCAAGATCAACCCGTTTGAACTTCGACTCGGGAAAACGAATTAATAATAACAAGAACAGATGTCGTCAGGATTTTAATTAATCGTACGAGATCGGGTCATAAAAAACTGTCTGTTATTGTCACGAGCTTGTAATGAATTCTCCCCTTTGACCAAGCCGTAATAAAACAAGCTGAACACGCGCTCTCTCACGGAATGATTAGTCATCCGTACGGTCGTTCGATGGAAAGCCTCGATAAAACGAGATTTCTCCCCGGCGATTTTTTGCTCAATTATTACGGTGACGCGTGCGATTATCGGTGCCTGTCGGGGGATCGAGCCGTGATTATTAATCGCGATCCCGACAAATGGCCCGCGAACTGCTGATCGAATCAATGATCGATCCGTGAAATTGGCTCGCCGTGCAAATAAACCGGCCGAACGCATAGTACGTCTCTCTCTCATTGACCCTTAAACGGCTAATTGATTGCGCGCGATGAAGAACCATGTGGTAGACGTTTAGAAAAATTAACGGTTACGTCAGGTGCATAAGATTTAATGTAACGCTTTCACCGTTGATAAACGTCCACGAGCCTCTGTGAATAAATCGTGGAAATGGACGAAGATCGTCGAAGAAACGCGAAGAATAAGCCTGTATCTCCCGCGGCATCGGCATGCAAGATTCAAACGAAGGCTTTTTCAACCTCCACTCTTCGGGCTTTCTACCCGAGGCGCAAGAAACTGTATGCAACGATAATTCAGTAATAACGGAGGATGGTCGTAACGCCGTGTGCAAAATTCACTCGAGAAAGTAGCCGGGGAACCCGAGTAACCGTGGCGGTGTGTCACGCTCCAACGAAAATTAGTCGCCGAGCGAAACTCCGTCGTGATTCATTCAGAACCTTGAAACCGAATCTAATATTCTATGGACCGAAACGTGAAGACCTTTGACCCGTTTTTACTAAAGTAATAACGAACGACTGAATTTGTAACCAGCATACCGTCTGATTGTTCTTTTCGACCCTGTCGATGATCGCGGATTTAGTAGCGTCGGGCGTCGGTTTAGTGGTGACTAGTTTCGCCCTGGTCGCGTTTCCGCCCTTGCTGGCGTTGGCTAGTTTGGTGGCCGGCACCGAGGAGGACGTCGCGCCTTTCTGCGTTCCGTTCACCAGTTCTACGACGCTGAACGTTTCCGACTGCAGCGGCGCGGCCCAGTTCGTCGGCGGTTCCTCGATCCACGGCCCGGAGGAGCCGAAGTGGGCGCACACGTAGAGCAACACGCAGATGTTGAGCACCACCGACACCCGCAGTGCCCAATTTCTACGCAGTATGCTGAACATGCTCATTCTTCAGTCTCCCCCAGGACCAACCACCCAGCTACCGTTCTTTCAGGACCGTGACCACGTGTTCGGTTCTAGATTTCACCATCCCACACCTCAGGGACCTTGCGAGCTCCGTGATCAGGATCTGGGCATCGTTAATATCCGCGACCGCCTCCTTGCTCCCTCCTGAAAAACCAATATTTATTTCATTTCGTTTGGATCTTTCGTTTCAACAAAATCAGACGTTTGTTCCGGTTTATGTAAATCAGGAAATAAGTGGAGAATAATTTGAAAATGTCTCTCTTGAGTTCGACGTTTATGTCACTATTTTGAAATAATAATTATTGACACGTGTCAGGTTAATATTCTTTTATAAAGAGCGTCGAGATCTAAATTAAAAAAGATATATAATTATATTTAAGAAAA